GGGAACAGTGCTTGGTTGACCTATTTAGATTTTCCAGGCAGCACATTCCTTTTTCAGATGCATTGCTCTGGCTCATCTAACAAGGGACCTCGAAGGCTATTAGCCTTGTAGATATATACTCCTTTTGTTTTCTTTTTTTATTTTAAAGAGTATAGTGAAAAAAATAACAATAGCAAAATACAAACAAAACAAAGCAAGGATATTAAAAATGATTTGGGATTTCAAACCAAATGATAGGGATTAACAGCGGTTGTTGTATTACATATTGTTATCTTCAATGAAGTTGCTCAGATTACCAGATGTAAAAATAGAAGATTGATCAAATCATTAAAGGGAATAAAAAATAATAATTTAAAAGAACATTAGCGACAATACATAGTGTCACTAGACAGGATTGTAGGAATTCACCAATAGTTACTGTACTGCATATTGTTGTCTTCGCATAAGTTGCTCAGATTACCAGATATAAGCATGCAGAATTGGTCAAAATATCTAAAAAAAATTTTAAGCATTAACTGTTCCCCTCAATAAACTACCAGACATCAGCAGTACAGTTATGCCAGATATATATATGTGTGTGTATATATAGAGAGAGATAATATAGATATAGATATATATGATGCCTTAGTACTTTCTCTTTCTTCTTTCCCTCCTCCCAGTTATTCCTTCCTTTGAGCAATTTCTTTCCTTTTCATATTATCTATTGTACATTTAGGGTTTTATTTACTCTTTCATGTTCTTACACTAGGGAGACAATATGATGTTCACATATGTGGATCCGATATATTTCACTTATGAGTATGGTCTCTAGTTGCATCCATTTCCGCATAAAAGCCTTGAGTTTATCTTTTTTATAGCTGAGTAATACTCCATTCTATCAAAATACCACATCTTTTTTATCCATTCCTCAGTTTATGGGCATTTGGGTTATTTCCAAGATTTAGCTATGACAAATTGCACTGCTATAAACATGTGTATACATATATCACTATAGTATGATGTTTTCAATTCTTTTGGGAAGATACCAAGAAGGGGAATAGCTGAGTTAACTAAAATCTCTAGTTCTAGTTCTTTTCAGAAATCCCCACACTGATTTCCACAGCGGTTTCACCAGTCTACACTCCCACCAGCAGTGGAGAAGGGTTCCTTTTTCCCCACAAGGGGCTATAAGGGTTAGGGTTAGGGTTAGCTTTGAATAGAGCCCAAAACAAGGAAAGGTTCTGCAACAGATCCCAGCTACTGTGCAAGCTGTTCTGCTACATGGGATATATGGTCCAAGGCTAGAGTTTCTGAAGAGATAAACTATTTGGAGCCTTTGGCAAGTCCCACAGGTAAACAACAATGAAGACCCTTAGGGTTTTGGAACAAGCTCCTTCCACCTTCTACAGATAATTACTCTTCTGAGATGCAATACTTGGCCCTCTACTAAACCTTGGTAGAAACTGATGGCTTGACCATAAGCCACCAAGTTACTATACGGCCTGTAGAGATGGCCTGAGTGTAATCTAACCCACCAAGCAAGAAAGTTCATTATGTGCTCCACCATCAATGCAAGTTGTATGTATGTGATCTTGCTGAACAAATTACGTTAAGAAGTAGCTCAAATCCCTATGCCATCTACCTCTGCTACACTGCCTTGGCCAACTTGCACCCACAGCCTCATGGGAAGTACCTACTCTCAGTGGACAGAGGAAGAGAAGACTAATATCTGGGTTAGACTGTGTGAACTGTATGAACCTGGACCCTTGCAGCACCAAGGTCCCCTGGAATATCCATAAAAGACAGTGATGAAGAGAAATCTTCTCAACAGGCAGAGCCCTGTGGCATGCATACATATGTGCACTTTCCTTGGAGGAGAAATGGCCAGAGATAGGCAATTATGTCCTGGTGCATGGGCTATGGCAAATGATGCGTCTGTACAATAAGAGACTTGGAAGAATCACAGTTGGAAAATTGGTGACAAAGAAGTTCAGGGAATAGGCACTGGACTGGATTTCTGAGTAGGTGAAGGACATGAAGATATTTGTGTCCTATGTCAACCTTCATTAAAGACTGAATTTGGCACAGAAGACTTTAATAATCAGGTAACAGGATAGTTCATTTTGTGGAAACTATCCAGCCTCTTTCCCCAGCCATCTCTGTCCCTTCTCAATAGGCTCATCAACAAAGCTGCTACAGTGGCAAGGAAGGTAGTTCGTGGGGGCTCACCAGTGTGGGCTTGCCTATAGCCACTGTTCATACTCAGCCTCCCAGTGACAGAGACTAAAAAACTGTGTTCAACATGGCATGATTTCTCAGGGTGATATGGCAGCTGCATGGTGGCAGGTTAGTTATATTAGATTGCTTCCATCACAGAAGAGGCAGTATTTTGTCCAAATTGGACTGACACAAATAAACATTCAGTATTAAAATATTTACACAAGTTTATCTTTTCCTGATGCATACATTTTTCCACAGACTCTATATGTATAAATAATACACTAACTTTTTAAAAAAAATCTTTGTTTAGATTTCTTGTTTCTGCGTCATGTAACATAAGGTTCACTAACTTTATCAGTGCATACTGTTAATTTTATGTGATAGTGTTTAAGTCATTGGATACCAAGAAAAAAGGAAGCATCACTCAAGAATTTTTTTCCTCCACTAGGGAGAAGATTAATACACTTTTTATTGTTTTAGGATAGCTGCATTGCATTTGGTAGAACTGTTCCTTGTTACCATCTTTATTTAACTTAAATATAATGTAAGGAGATTTTCTTGAATGAGGGGATCGTGGTGAACCTGTGATGGTTAATTTTAGGTGCCAACATGATCTCAATGAAGAATACCTGAAAACTTGATAAATCATTATTTTGAGGTGTTTTTGTAATGGTGTTTCAGAAAACATTAGTATGTGTGTCTGAGTGGACTAGAGCAAAGATTCACCATCGGTGTGCATCAGCACCATCTAATTAGCTGAGGGTCAAAGACAATCCAAAAGCACAAAAACAGAGAAAAGGTCAATGTGCCTATCTATTACAGCAGGGATAAACTTTTCCGCTCCACTCCTCAAACACCAGGACTCCAGTCTTTAGTTTTGGGGCTTCAGGACTTACAAGAACTGTTCTCTGAAATCTTAAGCTTTTACCCTTATACTGAGAATTATACCATCAGCTTCTCTACTTGTGAGGCCTTTGGTCTGGGACTGAGTCAAACTATCACCATTCCATGGTCTCCAGCTTATAGGCTGTCTGTTGTAATATTTCTCACACTTCATAACTATGCAAGCTAATGCCCTAATAAATCCTCTCTCATCTGTCTGTCTGTCTATTTATCTATATTATCATCTAGCTTCATTGATTCTGTCTCTCTGGAGAACCCAGAATTCCCATCTTTTGATTGGTGGTAGTAATTAAAAAAAAATAGAAAAAACAACTCTACCTAACACAACAGCTTCAAAATTGATCTGTCAGCCACTCCTTTTGTTCACCTTATAAATTACCTCCCAGTGAGCTCATATCATTGACCTATTAGTAAAAAAAAAAAAAAAAAAGTTTTGGTTTAAGAACTGTTTGGGGGGGTGGGGGTTTAGCTCAGTGGCACAGTGCCGGTCTGGCAAGCGCAAGGTCGTGAGTTCGATTCCTGGTACCAGAAAAAAAACAAAAACAAACAAACAAACAAAAAAGAACTATTTTTTTCATTTTGTGAGGATAGTACAAGAAAATTTTCCCATAATTTAAATAAATTGTTTTAACTAGCTCTATTAGACATTTGATATTTTCTGGGTTGTGCCTATTCTTTTATGCTACTACCAATTGAGTCATAAATAATACCTTCCACCTGATTCATGGAGCCAAATGTGTGTCCTGTACTGTGCCCACTTATATTATAAATACAGGGATGATCACTGTCAAATTTACAATGGCAAGCACACACATAGTTTGACAATTATCTAAGTGTATAATAGGCATCAATTAGAAACTTTTAGTTTATTGAAACTTAAATGATGTGATTGACAGCAATAGATTTCTCTCAAAATATGTGCAAAAACAAAAGTCAAATTGCATCTAGAACATTCACTGTTCTTGTTTTTGAACCTATTCCTCTTGAGACCAGTATAATTAATCCACACAATGTATGTAATCCCTATGGTCTCTAAATAGAATAAAAGTGCTGCCTATGCTATCATCATTTTATAATTTGAAATGTAAGAAGTTTAGAAGCCCAAAAGGAAAAAGAAAATTTACCTTGCAGTTCTAGGTATGTTCTCATAGTCATCATTTCCTGTAAAATTGCACTAAAATTGTGAAAAGGAGATTTAGTTATTGTTCATTTCTTTGGATATTACCTGTCTAATCTTGGCTTACTCTGCTCAAATCAAAATGAGTAAAAATATATGGCAACCACTTCGAAGGTATCAATATGTAATACAACAACCGTTCTTAATTTCCTACCACTTTGTCTGTAACTCTGTATTGCGTGTATTGTTCTTATGCTGCTTTGTAAATGGATGACTGTTTGTTAATATGTTTTCCTTCTTTTATTCTTAAAATAAATTTTTAAAAATGTATGACAAGTAGGAGAATGGATAGATAGTGCACTTCAGGCCCATAACTGTAGCTTTAAGGAGGGTTATAGAACATCAGGATATATAACAGTTTTATATTTTTTCTCTGCATTTAAGCATTATATGACTCCTTTGCATCATATTGTCTTCATATATTAATTACATAATAGCTTATATAATTAAAACAAATTCATAATCTGGACTTAAAGTTGTCTAAAAATGATATCTTAGTTTCCGTGAAAATAGAATAAGATCTACAACTTAAAATGTGAAGGAAAATGCATCCATTTTAAATCAGTAGCTACTTTGAAAATGTAACAGAGGAATTCAGGTGTCTAGACGTTCATTTAAAACCACTGATTCTATGAGAACACCTTTCCTAAGTGTAATGCACAGTTGTGTTAGATAAGGGGATTTCTAGGTACTATCTACTCTCTCTCTGTTATGTTCACAGATGTCTGGCTCTGAGTCCATGATGAACGGAAATCAGTCCCTCTGCACTAAATTCACATTTGTGGCTTTTTCTTCTCTAGCACAGTTGCAACCTGTACTCTTCATAGTATTCTCAATAGTCTACATATTTAGAGTGGGAGGAAACCTCATCATCATCTGCCTGATCTGGGTCACCCCTTCCCTGCACACTCCCATGTATTTCTTCCTGGTGAACCTCTCCTTTTTGGAGATGTGCTACATCACCAGTGTGGTGCCTCAGATGCTGGTGCACCTGCTGGTGGAGAACAAGACCATAACCGTGGGTGGCTGTGCAGCCCAGATGTACGTCTTTGCCATCTTGGGACTGACAGAATGCTGCCTGCTGGCAGCCATGGCTTATGACCGCTTTATGGCTATTTGTTACCCTCTGCATTACACTCTCCTGATGAGCCCTCCCGTCTGTTTGAAATTGGCTGCAGCATCGTGGATCACCGGGATGGTGGTAGAATCAACTCAGGTCACCTGGATCTTCACTCTGCCTTTCTGTGGAACGGGAAAGATTGAGCACTTCTTCTGTGACATCATGCCCGTAGTGAAACTGGCTTGTGTGAATACTTCTCACAATGAGCGGGTGTTGTTTGTTCTCTCCATGATCTTCATTATGGGTCCCTGTCTCCTCATTTTGTGCTCCTATATGCGCATCCTGGTGACCATCTTGAGAATCCCTTCGGCAGCTGGCAGACGCAAAGCTTTCTCCACGTGTTCCTCTCACGTGCTGGTCGTTTCTCTGTTCTTTGGCACAGCCTTGTTCACTTATCTCCAACCCAAAAATTCACACACCCCAGACACAGACAAGGCCACGGCACTCATGTACACAGTGGTCACACCTGCTCTGAATCCCGTCATCTACACTTTGAGAAACAAGGAAGTGAAGGAAGCCTTTCACAGGGTAACACACAAGAACCCACTTAGACAAATGGCTTAATCCAACCCTAGTAGCTGCAAGTTTTAATATTTTGCAGTCCTGATCCAAGACTTCATGATCCCTCTACTCTATTGTCACTGATGCTTTCACGGCCTAGCAACCCAACGACTCTTGGATCTGTTCTATATTTCTCAATGCAAGCAAGCAAAAGAATGCAAAAGTTGGATCATTCAGTTGTCTAATCATTCCTTTATCCAACATATTTACTAGCATCTCCTGGGCCATGGGCAACATTTTTAAAATGTCAGAATTATTAAACTAATGGAAATATTTAAAATTTAATGCTGTGGGGAAAGCAGCCTGTGTGTTTGTTAGTATGTTTTGGTTCCTTTATCTTTAAACTAAAAACTTATCACCCTCTACATCAGTATATTCAGGGAATACATACACTTATCATCATAAAGGATTGTTTAAATTTGATCCCGAGGACCATTGATCCTGACAGTAATGTTTTGCTGCAGACTCTACTAAATTTCTAATGCTCATAGTAGAGTGAATCAAAATTTTTATAGCTGGGTAATATTTGACTTTGGGCACTGAACTTATAAATTAGGTTGGAGGGTTATAAAAGGTGACATGTTTAATTAAATCCTGAAGTTTTACTACACAGAAGTGTTAGATGTAACTGTATTTATGGTGATAAAGAGTTGGTTTAAGTATAGAAAAAGGATTTCTGTCTCCATGATTATTTTTGCACATTGGTTTTCTGTCCCTGGGGAATAGAAAGCTAATTCTTAGATTCTAGGGCTAGAGGCATTTTACAGGAGAAAATTACTATTAGGTATTTTACGGGAGAAAAATATGAATCATTCCATGTGAACTCCTTCTATAGTTCAACTTTCCCTTGAGCTACTGATATTTTAAATATCTGAATATTATTTTTCTTAAGGAAGCCTTGACAAATAAAAAAGTAACATTTTATTTTTGTTATTTTAAAAATAAAAGGAGGAAAACATTAACAGACAGACAGCCTTTTACAAAATAGCAAAAGAACAGTACAGACAATACAGAGTTAAAGACAAAGTGGTAGGAAATTAACAATGCTTGTTGTATTACATATTGATATCTTCAAAGTGGTTTCTCACAAAAAAAATAGAGACATGCAATATTGATCAATCAAGGACTCATTAACAGTTTCTTTCAGCAAAGAAATACAAGACAGTAGAACAACTGTGTTAACTATCCTGTATATACATACATACAAAATTTCTCCTTCTTTTCCTTCTCTTTTCCCACATCCCAGTTGCCCTTTACCCTTGAGCATTTTCTTATCATTTCACAATGTCTATCACACCTCCGAGTTTAAATTAATTCTTTCAGGTTTTACACTAGTGAGACAATGCAGTGCTTGCACATGCAGGTCAGATTTATTTCACTCAGGAGTATAGTCTCTAGTTGTGACCATTTGCCTATAAAAGCCTCGAGTTTATCTCTCTTTATAGTTGAGTAATATTCCATTATATAAAAGTACCACAATTTTCTTATCCAATTCTTGGTGGATGGATGAAAAGTAACATTTTAAAATTAAATACTGCATGGAAGACCACCAAGGAAAGTCCTCAGAGCATACTCACATAGAATGCATTTAATGTGATGAATTTTTCAAAATTATGGTGAATCCTTCCTCATAACCCATTACTCAAACAAAATAAGAGCCAATTACAGTTTCTTTTTCTATTTACAACTACTTAGTGCTATGAGTGATCCACAAAGTGTACAATCAGCTTTGTAAGTGCATTATTTATTCACCAGAGAATCTTCCATTATAAATATTAGTGTTTTATACAAAGTAGTACAAAGCTACTTGATTTACTTTTAGGATTCAATAACCCAGTTCTCTGAAGGATAAGATTTCTAAACCATGTGTACATTTTTTGTACACAGAGAAATTTTTTGCATCTCTTTCTGTTTGTTTCTTGCTCCTACTGTCATTTTGCCTGTACATTTTCAAAAACTGGCTGTGAATTGCATTCACATGTTTTCCAATGCAAAATACCCTCTTTATAATAAAAGCTTAATGTTTTTGATGTTTTCTCTATGAAGCTCTTTTCAAAATATTCTTCTCTTTTAACATGTAATGACATGATCCAATGACAGTTGACGCGATTATTTTATTTTTCGTAATGCTTATAGGTTACAAAGATTGAATGTTTTAAGCATTGCTGATAATCACCTGGTATATATCCAGACACTGAATAGTCATAAATAACAGTTACTAGTTATTTAGACTAAAATATAAATGTGTATTTGCCGTTATTCAGAGAAATTGATTTACCCCAAAATTAAATGTTCTCCAAAAGAATGTATTCTATTTGTAGCTATTCTGAGTCTGCTTCCAGCCACTGTGTAGTATTCTGGATGCCAAGGAATCTTGTATCCAAGTAAAGTCAATTAATGAAAATATTAATGAAGAGTAAGTTAAGTACTTTCAACATAAATATAGTGCATGATTTTGACTCAAGCTCCTGAGAAATAGTGTTTTGTTGCTACAGTTTTAATGATTATTTAATCATACTGTTTTCTAGCACGAACTCTCAGATATTCTCATCAATGTCAGTATGGCTAAGAATAAAATACTTGAAGTGAAAAGTAAGTAAAACAAACTCAATTTGATATCGAAGAATTAACTGTATATTCTAGTACACGGTCAAACTGTCAAATGTGATAATACTGACATATTGTCAGTTTGACAAATTTGACAATATCGCAATTCACAGCCAATTTTTGAAACTGTACAGGCAAAACGGCAGTAGCAGCAAGAAACAAACAGAAAGAGATGCAAAAAATTTCTCTGTGTATAAAAAGTGTACACATGGTTTAGAAATCTTATGTACATGTACACATGGTTTAGAAATCTTATCCTTCAGAGAACTGGGTTATTGAATCCTAAAAGTAAATCAAGTAGCTTTGTGCTACTTTGTATAAAACACTAATATTTATAATGGAAGATTCTCTGGTGAATAAATAATGTACTTATAAAGCTGATTGTACACTTTGTGGATCACTGATAGCATTAAGTAGTTGTAAATAGGAAAAGAAACAGTGTAATTGGCTCTTATTTTGTTTGAGTAATGGGTTATGAGGAAGGATTCACCATAATTTTGAAAAATTCATCACATTAAATGCATTCTATGTGAGTATGCTCTGAGGACTTTCCCTGGTGGTCTTCCATGCAGTATTTAATTTTAAAATGCTAAATAAAATACTTGAAGTGAAAAGTAGGTAAAATAACTCAATTTGATATCAAAGAATTAACTCTATGTTCTGGTATATTGTCAAACTGATTCACCTACAATTATTCTTTAGCACTCAGTATATAATACATAACTGTGCATGAGATTATATACAAGCCCCCTGACACAAATATTTACTAGGCTTATGATTAAAAATATGACAATTATATAAGTTTCTTCTTATTCATTAAATTATGGTAATTCCTCCTTCTGATATGTTTGTTGTCTTCTTTGTTGGATGCTAGCTGTATTTTTTTATTAAAATCTTCATTTCAATAAAATTACCATGTAGATTCTAAGCTTTTACAATAGTGAGAATTAGAACAAGGAACATATATCAATAGAATTAACGCTGGAAAGGATAGACTTGATGATTTTAAACTTGGAAACTGAAATTAGTTAGGTTTTTTTGGTTTTTGGTTTTTGGTTTTTGGTTTTATTTGTTCTTTTTGAGACAGGTTCTCATTATGCAGTTCAGGCTGGCTTTGAGCTCGCTTTGTAGCCCAGGCTCGTCTCAAACTCACAAAGATCCTCCTGCCTCAGCCTCCTGAATGTTGGGATTACAGGCATGCACCACCATGACCAGCCCAGAAACTGAAATTAAAACTGAACATCTATCCACCTCCTTTGACCGAACAATGCAAATGCGTGCTCTCTCCTGCTGGGAGAAGTGAGCATTTGCCAGTGTACATGAGAATGTTTTGTACTTAGGGTAAGAGAAAGTTCAGAATAGTGCAGTGACTGAAAGCTCCACAGACACTTTCTATATCAAAGTGGAACTTCACTTTCCCAAAAGATGTCCCCTACTTGACTCTGAAACACTTAACGACTCACATTCTCACACACACACACACACACACACACACACACACACACACACACATCACAACAGTCCACGTCACAAGCGCACCCTAGTCATTCGTTATGGGTGCCTGATGTCTCATATTGTTTTGCTCTTATACTTAAACACATATTGCTCTACGAATCCAGTTTGAGAAACAGCTATTCACTTACTGCACTGTGAAGGAATCCATCTGGGGGATGCAAGTGATGTTTCTGGATAGTCTCAAATTCCATTCCGCCGGGATTGAGAGTGCTGCTAAACTCTAAAGAAAATAATTTAAAGAGATTTCTTCACCAAACTTTGTTTTGCATTTTATTACTTTGGCTTCCAAGCAATGCTTCACCAAGCTAGATGTTTAAGAAGCAGCATAAGGTACTTTATCATAATGGCCAAATCATTGCTGGCTGTATTAGCTTGGAGTTTAGAAGAACTGTGGCAAAATGTTTAAATGAAAACTTCAAAAATATCATAGTGTAAAATGGATGGATGGAGAAAGGTGTGTAATCTGAAATTTAAATAATAAATATTATGAGCATCAAAGAGAAGTTTGCTTAATACATGCCTCCTTCTTCAAGAGCTATGCAGCCTGCATCCACTTTCCCAGGCTAAGATTATTTGACATAAAATTTTTATGACCATAACTTATTTTAAGTACCAGATATTTCAAGTAATCAGAACTTCCACAAACCTCAAAAGTTATAAAACCTATAATAATTTTTATTCAATGTTTTCTAAGCTATTAAATCATTTTTAAATATCAGGCAATGAAGCTGATGTTACATTCACTGGAACTAACTTTTAAATATGTGATAGGTATGGAAAGAACTTTCCACTTGCTTATGATATTTTAAGCAAAGCTGGAGGACAGAGACATTTTAAATTCCAACGAAGACCCCAAATGAACCATTAATAACTGGGTTTAT